TTTGACATTTGTCAATGTATATGATAGATATATATTTTAGTTATTTTAATGTGAGGACAAGGCATGCAATGAACTAGTTTGGCGTGGATTAAGTAAGCACCTGAAGATGGCATTATTATGCCGAAACATGTAGTGCGAGTGAGAGAAGGAGATAGATGAATGTATGCACTGCAAGACGGTTTAAATAAATCATGGACTTAAATCAGTGCAACAGGACGCTAAAATATAACATTAGGCAAGATTTAACTTGAACTTTAATTTTAACCCAAAACTTCAAGTTTAAATTCAGGAAATGTAACCCTGTTGACAATATTTATGAACATATGCAGTGTAACAGATTATGAATCAAATAAATGTACCCAATGATGGTCAAATTATAACATACATACTGTACAAACTAAAACATCTTAGTGTCAGTAAGTATTAGTGATCATACTGCGGACAACTTCTCAGGGACATTGGAAAAGGGACATCAAAAACACTCTAGATTTAATTGTTGACCACAAGTGACTGAAGCAGAGCAATGAGATGTAAATGTACCTAACATGAAGTAACATTTCACAAGATGTTCAGTGCAGCTACATCCCTGCACAGTGTGAGTTATCTGACATATCAATTCAGTCTTATTGCCTCTCGTTCAAACCTTCTACAATCTCAGAATAGCACAAAGCCTCTCTCCTGATATGAAGCAAGGTTAAATTACAAAATTTTACTAATACTGTACTAACACCTCCAGTTATGATGTTATCAACCCTTCTGACCTCTGCTTATTAGGCAAGGTGAAGCAATCCACTTCCTAGGTGACAGCAGAGATGAAGCAGATCTGGGTACATACATGAAGGCTAGCAGAAGCAGCATACAGTTTACTGCAGATTCTCAATCATACAAGAAGCCCCCTAATTCCATGAAGTTACAGCTATGTAGCTGCTTTCATCTATGTGTTTATTACTGGTTTATTTTGTGAGACTTCAATTATTAAGATTATAAAACATCAAAGGATACGATGATTACTGAATAACAAATTTCAAATGACAATGAAGGAAGCATGATGGCTTAATGAAAGGGAATTTACCTTGGCATGTACCTGGAGGGAGTACGAAAAATGAGAAACCTCAGTCTTGATAACTGGTCTCTGAGTCTAGACATGTACCTGGGAATTATCAATATGAAGCAGCAGTACTTACCACCTAACCATGATATTTGATATCACGTAGGTGAGGGCTCAGACTGGCAATATAAAATACCTGCCTTTGGCATGAACACAAAGTACTTGACCACTAGACAAGCAATTAGTCACAAAATGTATGCTAGTATGAACTACTCTTACCAAAAATAGATCCTTGCCTGCTGCATCTAACATGGGCACCACCTCTGACATGTCCTGGGTCTCCCAGCGAGGGAACAGGCTCCTGTACTCACGCAGACTGGACACTCCAGGCCACATATCTTCATCTGGTGTGCCCAAGGTGCGGAAAATTCTGAACAGCTGGTCAATTTCTGAGTCTCCAGGGAACAGTGCTCGACGGGTCAACTGTTACCAGAATTCTTAAGTGAGGAGACTGTACTTCAACACCACATAAAAGTAAAGGTCATCTGTGTATATTAGCATGTTTAAATCTTTGTACTTGCAGCCAAACTCAGTGAGTAGCTTTTTACAACACAGTATTTCTTAGGGTACAGTAATGAATAATTTGTTTATAATTAACATGGTGTGAGAGATAAGAAAGTTAATGTGCAGAAATAAGTCAGAATATGCAGGAAAACATATGACTACAACTGTGTGACCCTGAAGATGGAAGTAGCATGTTCTCTGAAATATTGGTTCCTAGGCTGCAAAACTATTTGCTGTGACAAACCAAAAGACTGCAATCTGAACACTTGCTACTATGCAAACCTCAAACATTTGCACAGAAGTCCAATGGGATAAGCACTGTACAGTGAGATGGCTTGTAATACCTAACGGTGATTTCAAGCAATGCCAGTCAGTGTTCACATCAGTCATATTTTATGTCTGATAAAACAAAAGCGATTTTTGTCTTTGGTTCCTTCTTTACATAAACCTCCACTTAGTAATCAAATCTTACAGAACTCCAAAAATTCAAAACTGAATCAGATGAACAAGGCTTTAATGTCTTTTGGTTGCTAAAATGCCACAACCAATAGCATCTGAATTGGTCTATACTGTTACAATCAAACATCAAATTAACCTTATATCTGGTGTACAGCTGTCCAACATCAAATAACTGGCAGGACGTATTATATCTTAGGTATTTAACTGTGCATCACTGTCTAATTAAATGTTGCATGGTCAATGGCACCCTAAGTGCTGCTGATAGTACAATGTAGCAAACCTTTAGTGGATGATTTTTAAAATCAATCACTAAATTTTTGACAGATTGTACTGAAACTGAACACAATCACTGGGCCATATCAATTCAATTTGTTTCTGAGTTATTTATCAGATGACATGTGAAATCAATTAAACATTACAAATGACATTTAGTAAGCATTTTCCATCGTTCCTTTTAGCAAGATTCCTAAAGAGGAGGAAACTGTTTATACATATTTTGGGGAATGAAAGGATATTCTTGTAGGCTGTACAAAAACAAATGGAGGGCCATGTGCAGCTTGTATGCTGTGAGTTGGACAGTCCTGACCTAATGCATTTATAGCTCTTCAAAATAACACAATTTTCTAAAACTCTCTCACATAAGTAATCAATCATAAGAGCATCTTCAACTTTGCTCATGATGCTTCCAACTCTCAAATCTGTAATCCCACTGCAGTGTTAATGGTCACCAGAATATGGCCTCAAGTCAAGGTTTACTTAACTAGCACAGTATATCCAGCCAACTTTGCGACAGAACACTAAATGTGAAATTATAAATGAATGAATGTACAGTAAAACTTGGTTATAGCAACATCAGTTTCTGCGACATCTTGTCTATTGCGTCAAATATTCAATGGTACGAACTAATTCCTCATAAAGCAACTGTTTTTATACCTTGCTTAGTACGACATGCACAAATGCATCAACCTCGTATGTAACGTCATTTTCATTCCTGAATTTCTCTGATATGGACATTGAACGTAATTTAGAAAGTGTGTATTGGGCAAGTAACAGGAAACAGATGAAGATAACTGATTACTGTACTCGTATCTAGGTACAGTAAGGCACAACAATTGATGTAATCTACTGTAATTTGGTGAGTAGGGCTACCTTTAATATACAGTATTAGTGCAGTGTGTTTCGTCAGTGAAAAGCGCTGTAATATGTCTTTGATATTACACATTTGGGCAATTCCACGTAAATGTTACGTTAGTCTGTACTTAACTACGTATTTCACTAAAAATGCAACATTTTAACTTGGTTTTTGGTAGAATTTTACGTGACTAACATAAGACTTCTGTGGAAGTGCCCATTTCGGTTACGACATTCGTTTATAACGACACTATTTTTAGGTCCCTTTGATGACGTTATAACCAAGTTCTACTGTATATGGGGTGGGCCTTCTCGGCCCTTGCACCGCGACTTACAGTGATCTATTATGCTTATGTGAAATTAAGAACGTTTCCCACAGTTAGTTTTATCAGTTCTCAAGAGGTGGCTCCATAACGGGGACATCAATGATTTATGGAGAACTGTTAGAAGTAACTGTGGAACACACATGTAATTTCATGCTGAACTGAAAGCATCATACCATGAAATATGATACGCCACAAAAATGCATGTTTACCCTACATTATTTCATATACAAAAGCAGTATAACTGTAGTCTAAAACTGATCATGAATGAATGATGCATCACCCCAGGACTCACCATTTCTGCGAAGACACAGCCAAGACTCCAGATATCAACAGATGTGGAGTAAAATTTGCTGCCCAACAGGATTTCTGGTGCACGGTACCAAAGAGTCACAACTTCATGAGTATAAGTACGCACAGGCAAGCCAAATGCACGTGCCAATCCGAAGTCTGCCACTTTGATGTAACCTCGTCCATCAATCAGCAGGTTCTGTGGCTTCAGATCCCTGTGCAGCACACGGTTCATATGGCAATATGACACACCTTTCAGCAGCTGATGCAGGTAGCTCTACAAACACACATTTACTTACTTTAAAATGTTCAACAGCCAAAAACTGGTTAACACCGTCACATGTAAGTTACCAGGCAAAGGGTTCGGAATGGTAATTGGATATATTGACCACTTATAACTCACAGGTACAGGTAACTATTACAGTTTCACTGATTTACATGCTCTACAAATCACTATTCCTTAAGTCTTCAAGAGGTGTCAGTCGATTAAAACTACTATCATCGGGATTTTTCAGCTTTTTTTGTGCTAATGTCCTCGCTGGGTGGTGGCTGGCTTACAACTCACTCATGACGCCATAGTCATGACTGACTGTCGACTGCAACTAACTTCTCTTGTGTGTCCTCACTATATAGCCTTGGCAGGGACCAAACAGAAAACATAATTTCAACCAGTTCTTCTATTGCTGTGGTCGTGTGTTTATCAAGCTGTTGTCTAGTAAAGGCAATTTCTTCTGGCTCCACTATTCCAACTTTCAGGTGTCATGCCACAATATGTAATACATACCAATAGCCAATCAATGAATTTCAACTTTACAAAATCTACCAACATTTTAACTCACAGTGTACTGATTATACGGCACAGTTTACATTTGAGAATACAACACTAAATGAGTTTAAAAAATGGGTTTTCTTCTCGGTTCCTACTTGAACAAAATCTTTCAATTCTACACAAATTAATTTGCCATTCGATGATAGATAACAACTACATTTAACTCATTCAAATATTACCAGAACCAACAGAAATCACATGTGAAAACAAAAGACTTGATGTCCATGAGCTACTACATATTTCTGGCAAAGAAAACAGAATTACTGTTCAATGCTACATGGTCCAATGCTGACAGCATCATTCAGCGATAAAAAAAAAACTTTTTCAAGAACGCCTATGATTCAGTTAGGAGGGAAGTATTGTACAATATTCTGATAGAGTTTGGGATACCCATGAAACTAGTTAGGTTAATTAAAATGTGTTTAAACAAAACGTATAGTAAAGTCCGTGTAGGTAAACATTTGTCTGATAAATTTCCTATCCAGAATGGTCTAACATAAGGATGTGCTTTATCGAAACTCCTTTTCAGCTTTGTTTTAGAATATGGCATTAGAAAGGTCCAGGGAAACCAGATGGGACTGAAATTAAACGGGACACATCAGCTG